TTAAACTGTGCCTAATAAAACAGTGAAGTTAAGTTGAAGGCCTTACCAGACTTTAATATATGTTTTGGGGTTTGGGTTATTTTGAGAGACTAGGGGTCATCACACTGTTATCTACCTGCTAAAATTTTAAGACAAGCAAGAATCTAACCAAAAGTTTCCTGATTAATTGTTGAAAATTTCAGCTTGTATTTAACACTCCTGCATTCCATTTCTTCCTTCCTTTCTTTTTTGCTGGAGAAAGTGGCTTGTGAGAATAAATAAGCAGCCAATGTGTAGCAGCATACTTTCCTTTATCACTTACAATGAATGTGCACTTCAAACCTATCTCTGAAAGGAAGACTAGACACCCTTGTGGATCACTACCTTGTTGTGGTGAAGGGGCTTGCACAGCTCAAAGAAGCTATGAGCTAAGCTCTACAGAGCCACCCAAGATGGATGGGTCATAGAGGAGAGTTCTGACAAAATGTAATCCTCCAGAGAAGGAAATGGTAACCCACTCCGGCATCCTTGCCAAGAAAACCCCATGGCCAGTACCAAAAGGCTAAGAGACATGACACTCGAAGATGAGTGCATCAAGTCAGAAGGTGTCCAATAAGTCTGGGAGGCAGTGGAGGTCAGGGGGGGGCCTGGCACGCGATAGTCCATGGAGGTCACGAAGAATGGGAAATGACTTAGCAACCGAACAAGAAGAAGGAAGGCTGGTCTTTGATCTAAGAGGGGTGACCATCTTTTCGGAGAAGGAAAATACTTTTTCAAAAAATCCCAAGATCACAGCAGGTGCTATAAGGCCACCACAACATCACCCCACTAAGCATGATCAAAATGTTTTGCTCTGATTCAGATCACATTTGGAGAAGGGGAATTAGCCCCCAAAGGATTGACTATTTTGGCAAGGACCATTTGTAATAGTATGTGAGAATGACCATCGGAGACAAGGCCATGGCCCATAGCTGCATAACAGGCAAAGAAAGAAACCTCAGTAACTTCTCAGGCTGTAAGAGAGATGGGGGAAGATTTATACTTTCAGACTTGCAAGATTCTGTTAATGTAGCCTTACAATAAATTAGAATCAGCTCAGCTGGTCATGTTTCCTGTCTGCTCCACCTGGGGAGGCTGCACCATTTCAGTGGCTCACGATTTTAGATATTGCCACAATATAAAAAGGTGTTGAGACTTTGCAGAGAAGAGCAACAAAGATCACTGGAGCTTTTCAAGAAGAGATTGGACAGCCATTTGTCTGAATTAGTGTAGGGTCTCCTGCTTGAGCAGCGAATTGGGACTAGAAGATCTCCAAGGTCCCTTCCAATTCTGATGTTCTGTTAAAACAGCTGCAAAATGGGTGTTGCAGGACCCAGTGCGACCTAGAGGTACAGGTTGGCTTTCCCTGTCTCCAACCCAAATTCACTGTTCCTCCAGAGGAGAGTCAAAAATGTCCTTACCTTTTTGCAAAGAACCATCTGGTGATCAAAGAGGAAGAAGACCCGCTGCTGGCTTCGTCCATAAGGCTGATATATCCACGACATCTCTCCCGTGTAGATCAACTCAGAGCTGCGATCCAAAATGTCCTCTCCCTGAAAGGAAAGGAGAACTAATCACCCAACAGGATATGATTGTCCCCACTCGAATCTTGCTTTTCTTTTTGTAAAAAGTAAGGAATCGGATTGGCTGAAACCACAACACCAGAACTAAGCGACTGGAAGGTACCTATGTTCAGCTTTATTCAGAACTAGACTTCCTTTCTTAGCTAGGTACACAACATTTTCTATAATAGATTAGAAAGTTAAAGAGACTCAGCAATTAAGCTCAATCCTTGATGAAGGCATCCATGCAATTGACTCATTTTATTTTGTTTTCTGGGCCTATATGATGCTCTAATCATAGCTGACCTTATATAGCATTAAATAAATGGAGGTTTCTTCTTCATTCATTTTCCCGTTACCTAACAGGCCTACAGTTCCCATGTATTTCCCCCTCCCAAATCCTAACCAGGTTTGGCTTATGAGATCAGCCAAGGTTAGCAAGGTGCTGCTGCTTGCTAAGCATACCTTCACCTCTACAAAGGCTTTCTAGTTTGCGATTCTGAACTGTGCAATTGTTCTCCTCTGTAAATGTGTAATTGTGTCCGTGAACATATCACTTCATGGTTTTGTTTACTCACCCCTACTTTTCTTGCTATCTTACATTTCCTTCCCCTAAAAGAAGCCATGTGAAATACTAGCTGTCTTCTTTCTCAAGTTTTGCTATCCATAATATCAAATCTGCAAGTTGTTGAAGCTTCTGGGTCTTTTTCAAAGGTTATTTTACAATGCAGCAACATTCTGGGTGTATCTGGAAATAAGCCTTTCTTTGCAGCCCTTATTGGTCCAATACAGATAGTCCTCGATTCACAACAGTTCATTTAGTAACTGTTCAAAGTTACAATAGCACTGAAAAAATTGACTTATGACCTTTTTCATGTTTACAACTGTTGCAATGTCCTTGGGGCTCAATTGGGGTTGTAAATCAAGGACTACCTGTAATGCACCCCAAACTTCCTCATTTGCCCTGGTGCCATTCAGAAGACCTTGCGTAGCATCTTGAGATGTTTGGGAAAAGATGCCGTCTGAATTTTCATATTGAAATGAGAATGGGGCAGAGGTTAAAGATTGGAGCAGGCTCTGCTTCCGTGGGAGATTTAGGATTCCGAACCTCTAAATAGTCTGTAATTTTTTACTATGTTCCATCAATAAGCTGTCTTTTCATTTTTCCATTTTCTCCTTCACTTTTTGAAAAAATTCCCTTGAAAAGTTCACAGCAGAATTTGGTTTAAGATCCTTTGATTCAGCTGTAATTTTTACAAAAAAGGAGGAAAAACCCACTTCTAGTTTGAAACGAGAGGTTCCTCCAGGGAGCAGGGGTCTAATGCATTCATGGGTCATTGCGGTTATTGTTGAAAATAAAGGGAAAAAAGATAAAAATAGAATATTGGCTGTGATGCTCCAGGAACAGTAAGCAACAAAAAAAAAAAAAAAAAGCCTTAGGGTATAAACATTCCCCTTAAATACCTCTGCTGGATTAACTGAACCAACTTAGAACTATCAGCATTTGGTAAAAGCCATTGTAGTGTCACACACGTCATGAGAAATTATGTCATACGGCATTATTTCTGCAATGACACAATGCACATGATATCACCTGCCTCCCACAGATGCCCATAAATGAAGGGGAATGTAACAGCATATTCAGTGGTGGTATTCAGCCGGTTCACACCGGTTCAAGCGAACTGGTAGCAAGGATTTGGCGTGGGTCACCGAACCGGTAGTAACTTCTGGCTGGCCACGCCCCCAACCTGGTCGCCCGGTTACCACTCCCTTTCTCCGCCCGCCCAATGCCTGATGCTCGCTCATCCCATCCACCCAATGCTCACCCACCCAGTCACTCCTTAAGGTATTTCTTTTTTTCCCCTCCCGACAATCAGCTGTTCCTACGATCAGCTGCGCTGGGATTCCCCTCACTTCTTATTGCTTCACCGAGGAGGCTTCCCTGAGGCCCAGGAGGGCAAAAAATGGAAGGAGGGGGCACAGCCCTCCCCCACTCTATGTTTTTGCCTTCCTGGGCCCCCGGGAAGCTTCCTGGGAGCAAAACCGCCCCCCAGGAGGCTTCCCTGAGGCCCAGAAGGCCCAAAAATGGGGGGGTGTGTGCAAAAAAAGCCATGCCCACCCAGTCACATGACCACACCCACATAGCCATGCCTACCTAGCCACAGCCACATAACTGGTAATAAAAAAAAATGAATCCCACCACTGAGCATATTCATATATATGGCACATACTGCACACACATACATGCATACATATACAGGTAGTCCACGACTTACAACCACAACTGAGCCCAAAATTTTTGTTCTGAAGTGAGACATTTGTTAAGTGTGTTTTGTCCCTTTTTACGACCTTTCTTGCCATGGTTGTTAAGTGAATCATTGCTGTTGATAAATTAGTAACTCAGTTGTTAAGTGAATCTGGCTTTGCTTGTCAAAAGGTGTCAAAAGGGGATCACATGACGTTGGGACACAGCAATGATCATAAATATGTACCAGTTGCCAAGCCTCTGAATTTTGATCACATGATTACGGGGATGCAACAAAGGTCATAACTGTGAGAATGTGAATAAGTCACATAAGTCGGTGCCATTGTAAGTTTGAACAGTCACTAAATGAACTGTTGAAAGATGAGGACTATCTGTATACCTACGTACATATACTGTATATATACTCTGTGTGTGTGTGTGTCTGTCTGTCTGTGTCTGTGTGGAGAGAGAGAGAGAGAGAGAGACAGAGACATTACAGTGAACATTAAATATGTAACTTAAAGGTATGTTGTCAAGCTTACACACACAAACATACCTAGTATCTGTTTACAAATATATAAACTGTCAACTGATGTATAAAATCCCTTCCCACTACTATGAGTGGTCTGTGTCCTCTTCTTCCATGTCGTGGTCTCTACCAGGAGTTTGTGGGTTCAGTGAAGGATCTTCGCTGTTCCTAGCACTGAACTCTTCTGGACAGAGTACATGGGATCTATTGGAACGCGTCTTCCAGCTTAGGAGCCACAGACCCGAGTGCTGCTAACACCTCCTGGGATTACTTTGATCTTTACTTTCCATATTGTCTCCACTTCTTCCTTCATGCTCTGGTACTTTTCCAGTTTCTCACACTTCTTACAGATTAACAGAGTTGGAAGGAACCTTGTAGTTCATCTAGTCCATCCCCCCGCCACCCAAGCAAGAGACCCTACACCATTTCTGACAAATGGCAGTCTAATCTCTTCTTGAAAATCTCAAGTGATGAAGCTCCCACAACTTCCAAAGGCAACTTCTGTTTCATCGGTTTATTGTTCTCACTGTCAGAAAATTTCTCCTTATTTCCAGGTTAAATCACTCCTTGTTCCGTTTCCATCCATCATTCCTTGTCTGGTCTACAAATGCTTTAGAAAATAGGCTGACCCTCACCCATATTTGTGGGAGCCCCTCAAATATTGGAAGACTGCTATCCTGTCTCCCCGGTCCTTCTCTTCACTAGACTAGCCAGGCCCAGTTCCTATAACTGCTGTTCATACGTTTTAGCCTGCAGTCCCCTAATCATCCTGGTTGCTCTTCTCTGCACTTTTTCTAGAGCCTCAACATCTTTTTTATGGTATGGTGACCAAAACTGGATGCAGTACTCTAGGTGTGGTCTTACTAAGGCTTTATAGAGTGGTATTAGTACCTCACTTGACCTTGATTGTATCCCTCTGTTAATGCAACTTAGGACTGCATGGGCTTTTTTGGCTGCTGCTGCATATTGCTGGCTCATATTTAGCTGGTTGCCCACTAAGACTCCAAGATCCAAGTGTAGGACTTCTCTACACTGAATTTCATTTTGTTACATAGGGCCTGGTGTTCTAGTCTGTAAAAATCCATCTAGATCTTGAGCCCATCTTCTAGGGTGTTAACTATTCTTGCTAGCTTAGTATCATCTGCAAATTTGGTAAGTTCTCCTTCTGTTCCCTCATCTAAGTCGTTAATGAAGATATTGAAGAGTACTGGGCCTAAGATGGAACCTTGTGGCACCCCACTGCTTGTTTCCCTCCATGTAGACTTAGATCCATTAAAGACTACTCATTGAGTACTATTTGTCAACCAGTTGCAAATCCATCTGAAGGTGGTACTATCTATCCCACATTTTTCTAGCTTACCAAGATGTAGGTTGTGGTCTACTTTGCCAAATGCCTTGCTGAAGTCTAAGTATGTTATGTCCACAGTATTTCGCTGGTCTATCAATTTAGTCACTTTGTTGAAGAATGAAATAAGATTGGCTTGGCATGATCTGTTTTTAACAAACCTGTGCTGACTGCTAGTTATTACTTTACTTGTTTCTAGATGTTGGCAGATCTGTTTTTTTATTATCGTTTCCAGTATCTTCCCAGGTATTGATGTTAGGCTGATTGGTCTATAGTTTCCTGGGTCTGTTTTTTTCCCCTTTTTTTGTAGATGGGAACCACATCAGCTCTTTTCCAGTCCTCTGGTAGTTCCCCGGTGCTCCAGGATTTTTGAAAGATATGGTGCAGTGGTTCTGAGATGACCTCTGCCAGCTTCTTTAAAACTGGGATGTAATCCATCAGGCCCCGGTGATTTGTTTTCATCAAGATCAGACAGGTGTTCTCTTACTATTTTTTTTTTGCTTATTTTAACTTTTATTTCTGGTCTGTCTTTTACAGTTATGTTTTTGGTGGGTTGGGCTATTGTTTCTTTTTGCATAAAGACCAGTGCAAAGAATGAGTTAAGCAGTTCTGCTTTCTCTCTGTTGCCTGTTACTTCCTTGCCATCTTCTCTCTTTAGTGGGCCGACTGTTTCCTTGATTTTTTTCTTGTTATTTATATGTTGGAAGAAACTTTTTAAATTATCTTTGACTTTTGTTGCAAGTCTTTGTTCATTCTGAGCCTTTGCTATCCTGACTTCGTCTTTGCAGATTCTGGCTATCTGCTGATATTCTGCCTTAGTTGTGTATTTCCATTTTTTGTACTTGTCCTTTTTGTCTTTCAATTTGTCAGAG